GAAGAAGAAGAAGAAGAAGAAGAAGAAGAAGAAGAAGAAGAAGAAGAAGAAGAAGAAGAAGAAGAAGAAGTCTGAAGAAGAAGAAGAAGAAGAAGTCTGAAGAAGAAGAGGATGGAGATGAGGAGGAGAGAGCAGAGGAGGAGGGAGAGATGGCGAGGTAGGGAGGAAGAGTGTCCTCATTACCCTGTCCTGGTCCGAAACCCTACCTGCAAGATGCAAGGTGGTGCCTTGAAGCCTTCTGCAGTCGAAGTCCGCGGAAGCTATGGTGCCACAGGTAAGTACCAGGTAAGTCTCTTGCTGCTCTCTATCCCGAACTGCAGTCTAGCGCTAACCTCGCACTACTGCAGTAGCGCTGTGCCCTAAACAGAATAGCGCAGCGTTCTCTCCAAGGGCTGCTGCTCCAGAATGCAGGAATGGCCGCTGGACCGGCCTAAGTACCGTCCGGCGGCCGGTCGGCCTCAATGCTGGCCTCCTGCACCGTGGGCTGAACCGTCGAAAATAGCTGTTCAGCCCAGACCGGCGGCGGCAGCCTCAAGAGCGCCGCCAGGCCCAAACGGTTTGTCGTTTGGGCCAGACCTGGGTCTGCTGAATACCGGGGTCCAACCGGTGGCCTAATAGGGCCTACCGGGAGAAAAAGGCCTGGCCTTTGGCTAGGCCGGCCTGGGTCCTCCTGAACGGGTGTGTCGGGCCTGTGAAGGCCTGTGTGAAGTCGGAGGAGGAAGAGGAGGAAGAGGAGGAAGAGGAGGAGGAGGAAGAGGAGGAGGAGGAGGAGGAAGAGGAGGAGGAAGAGGAGGAGGAGGAGGAAGAGCTTCTTCTTCCTCGACGACGACGACGACGACGACGAAGAAGAAGAAGAAGAAGAAGAAGAAGAAGAAGAAGAAGGAGGAGGAAGAGGAGGAAGAGGAGGAGGAGGAGGAGCTTCTTCTTCTTCTTCTTCTTCTTCTTCTTCTTCTTCTTCTTCTTCTTCTTCTTCGAAGAGGAAGAGGAAGAAGGGAGGAGGAGGAGAAGGAGGTCTTCTTCTTCTTCTTCTTCTTCTAACAGGAGGAGGAGGAGGAGGAGGAGAAGAAGAAGAAGAAGAAGAAGAAGAAGAAGGAGAAGAAGAAGGAAGATTTTTGAAACACAAGGCTCCAATCTATTCGTGGGGAGCAGCACGTGCTGGGAACCGGGCCAGCGTCCCATATTAAAATTTAACAGATGGTTTGGAAATATGGCTAAGAAACAAAAACATATGCACAAATTCAGAAAACGACTCAGACCCCCCAATCAATCCCCTGTACCCCCCTCCGGCAAGACTTACTGCAGCAGAGCCACCATCTCCGCTGCTGCTGTACCCTATTCCCATCCTACCAGCTAGCCCCCTTACTAGTAGGACGCGTGATATCCCACCTTCTCCTTCTCCCACTCACCTCGATCTCTTGAGAAAACGTCTGAGCAATACGGAAAGAAAGGGAAAAGACCGCATAGATCCTACAAGTGCTCCAAAACCCTCGAAATCCCTAACAAACCCTTCCAAAGCTCTCCAACACTGTTTTACTCCCTGCGGAGCTCTTCCAGGCCTCACGCCCCCACATCCTGCTGGGTTACAGGGCAACACAACTCACCCCAGCTCCGACCAGCGTCGTCCCAGCAGCAACCCTTGGTTGTCCCGTGGAATGCCCACCCCAAAGCATCCCCAGATCTCTCTACCAGGCCTCACGCTCCTGCATCAGCAGGTTACAGGGCAACACCCCAGCACCGGCCAGCGTCGTTCTGGCATCGAACAGCCACAGGTCACTGAGTATAACAGCATCGAAACCACCTAAGACAAAGTTGCTAGGAATCCCCAGAGTCCTAAAACATTCTTAAGACTACCCGGCTTCCGCTAAGAAAGACAAATGAGTACAAGAGCACTAAAAATTTTCTCTAACCTCCAAAGCTCGGATCAAGGGAGCATTCAGAACGAAGGAACCTCCTACTTTAGAGCCTTTCGGCAACCCAACCCTACCTGCCTCACCCCTATATCCCGATGCCCAATCTCTACCCGGCCTCATGCCCCCAACTGCCAGGTTACAGGGTGGCACGACCCACCCCAGAAAACTCCCCACCTGCTGGGCCACAGGACAAAACGACCTGCCCCGGCTCCAGCCAGCATCAGGTACGCACCAGCTCACGAAAAGACACTAGAGTGCCTTCCACCCTCAACAACTCCCCAGATCTCTCTACCAGGTCTCATGCCCTCATACCACTTGAGTTACAGGGCAGCGCAACCAAACCCCAGCACCGACCAGCGCCGTTCTGGCCTTGTCTATTCGCAAACCCCGGGACTCAGGACTAAGGCAAATACTAATCAAGCTACCAGCCAGCACCATAGTTGTAGACCCCATCATTCATCTTGCAAATATCCCCCAACAGAACCTTCTCAACCCCCTGTCTGTTCACTGCCTCCGCGGGAAGGCGCCCCGTCACCTCCCCGCCCCAGTTCAGAACAGCCCCCAGAATACCCCTCCTGTTCCCCCAGTCGCATACAATACCCCCTAAAGTATACCCCCACAGAGCCAAAGGTCCCCCTGCCTTCCTGCTCCACCCCTTCCAAGCAGAACAGCCCACTCAACGCTCACCCTGCTGACATCAGCACCCCGCGTCCTCTCTCCCCAACCGCCATAGCTGATCCGACCCAAAATCAGCGTGGCCCAGAAAAGGACAAACCCTCAATACCGTCCCTACCCTCTCAAGGATCACACCACCCACCTTGTGTAACCCTCGCAGGGAGAGACTCCAACCCTAAAGGAGATAATCCATTCAAGACCTATGACCCCGATCCCACAACATCACGAACTGAGACCCAATTATTAAGAACAAAGAGACCAATTACTTGAGTAGTCACTATTTGAGACATCTCTGAAAAAAGAGTTTTAGGCATCTTTCTTCAGCGAAAGACCAACGTCATCATGTGAGAATTTCAAATTTGAGCAAACTCAGGTTTCCATCTACAAAATCGAAGTACGAATTCTCAAATTTGAGAAAGTCGAGTGTAAGAATTTCAACCTAGCCCACATCAATCATAGAAAGTAAATCACGAATATCCATCTATAGGATCAGAGTAAGAATTTGAAGTTGAGCAAAATCACGGATTTCAATTTTGAGAAAGTCAAGTGTAAGAATGTTTATGAGAATTTTTACGAGTCATGCAAACGAAGTTCGGAACTAGTTTGAGCCACGATTAAGAATTAAGACCTTGATATTAGAATCAAATTTATGCAGTCAGTATGAAGAAAATCCAACAAGAAATTCCAAGAAAACAAAATTTGGAATATCCATCGTAACGAATTTGATCACAGCAACAGTACGGGATCAATCAAGAATATACGCCATTCATAGACATAGTGAATAAGATCGCCTCTAATGAAAAAAAACTATGACCAAAACATACAAAATTTCAGAGCAAACTTAGACGGACTTCCAACCAGGCAACCCCTCACAGTGCCCTAACGACACCAACATGATGCCCCATCCAGCACACCCCTTCCCCCTCAAAACCTCACCTCCCCCTTCAACGGCTCCCCTTCATCGGTTCCTCGCAAGTCGACCTCATGCTGGCTAAACTTCACCATGTCTACGAAAGGTCGAACGATGAAGATCATCGGACCGCAGCAGAACTCACCTTCTCCAGGAGATCATGCCGCGTTGTGAGACCAAACTGTTGAGCCCGCCAATAGTCTCTCACAGGTAGTCTCAAGAGTATCAGGGACGCGCAATGCTATGCCACCTGTCAAAAAGCACGTAGATACGTCAACCCAAACTGAGGGAATCACCCCCATCCGTCGCATGGCCCCTTGAAAAGCTTTTCCCACAGAC